TCTTTCAATTCACTCTTTTTTCAATTCACAAAACACTCTTTGACTTAGTCAGCGCAGTGAAGAGTCCACAGCAGTGCAGTGATAAGTTAATCAGTCATTGTGGAGCAGAGGCACTGGTGTATCCAGTATCTTACCTGTGGGACCGAGTGAAACACTCAGAGCAAATATCCACAACATCAGATGTCTTCTGGCCATTGTCAGTGTACAGAACTGAAACAGGATCGTTTGGTTAAGCAAAGTTTTATAGTTCAGTTGAAGTGTTTTGTAGGCTCCACACAAGCACTTTCAGGAAATGACACAGAGGTATAAAAGATTAGTGACATGCTTGGACACGCCCCTGAGAGTGTTAAAAGAATGCAGGAAATATACAGACAGACCTTGACGTAGTGATACTCGCTGTTGACAAACACTATATAGAAGCATCATGTATGAGTGTTCAATGGCCTTATTTAACTGCTCCAAAAAGGGACCAATATAAATTGATCACTCTGGGGAAATATCTTTACTTGTGTGCTCTAGAAAATCTTGCCTTTTAACATTTGCTGGTCAAAAACAAACAAAAAACCTCAAATGAATCATCCAGACCCACAACGAGGTAAGGTGGTCAAACAGGTCTGTTATTTTACACCACTGTACACATGATTCAGGCACAATCTGATTCTACCTTTCCTTTTTCCAAATTGTTGTTACAGTGATATGTAAATGTAAAATCTTTTCTTCACACTAAAACTAAAAGAGCTTCAGTCTACAAGCAGGCAACTATAGGCTTACCTCAGAAGTACTACTTTACTGAAACTGCAAGTGTTGCAAACATATTTGTCATCCTAATAACAGCCAGAGTATCTAACCACTTTCTTTCATGTACATACAATTTGCAATGCATCTATGTTATCAAGATATATTGTAATATTTTGACCCTTTATTTTTTTGTACATAATTTATTCAATACACCTTAAACTGACAAAGAATGATTTGGATAGATATACTGTACATTGCTTGCAATGTAATGATTAATTCTCAAAATGTTACCAGATGAATATAGAAAGTAAATTGCCTGCATTTGTAGATACATAAAAGTGTAGAGACAAAAACAAAAAGCCTCCATAGGATGAGCAAAATACGTTGCCTTACCTTCACTTTGTTGCTCCTCGTGCTGTTTGGCTTTAAGTTTTATTCAAGACTTGCAGATTCATACTTGCTAATACTGGGTCTGTCTGTGGACACTGTCTGATCGTCTTGTGAATTTCAAAACTGCATCTATTCTTCCCTTTTTCTTCAGATTTTGGGTTTTCTTAAAAATGTGAGTGCATGAAAATGTGTAATGTGAGCAAAAAATAGGAAACTCCATGCCCTGTCATCTGTAATTTCCTCTCCCACTGAAATGCATTCTTGCTCTTCTTCTAATACACAAGGTCAAGTCAAGGACAATAATGCAGTTATTGTGCCTTCTCCTGACGCCTCCAACAAAGCCATTGTTCACTTGTTGGAGTGGAGAAAGCATGCAGTGTCCATTAGGGCCGTATGTGTTGCAAACTGGCCCTTTTCTCTCTTCCCTTGTCTCCTCCTGCTCTCTGTCCTTCTGTGACCTATTGCTCAGTTGTCTGTTCTGTCATGGATCTGCACTTGTGTGTGTGAGAATAGATTGAGATCTGGTAGATGAAGCTGATCATCGTCAAAAAAAACAATATGTGACCCTGCACTCTAAAAAATGCTGGGTTGTTTCAACCCAATTTTGGGTCAAATATGGACTAACCCAACTGTTGGGTTAAATTTTGGTTACATTTTTAAATTAACTTTTTAACCCAACAGTTGGGTTAGTCCATATTTGACCCAAAATTGGGTTGAAACAACCCAGCATTTTTAGAGTGTGCCTGTGAAAACATGTTTTTGTGATTTACTGTTTTCTACATAAAATCATCCTTCATAAAGATGTAGAACATTCTGTGAAAATAGAACCTTTACATATTTAATATTGACCAAGGCCATGTCAAAGATTGAAATCATAGTGAAATTAATGGTTGAAATCAAACTTTGATGCTTGTTATCTCATAATTAGATTTTGAGACTTTAGCCTGGATTTCTAAGAGACAGGGTCACATATGTGGTCAAACCCTGTTGCTTCTGGTAAAAAAGACATTTAATATTCCACAGTGAACCTGAAAGGCTCATGTAAAGAAACACTATTGACACAGTCAACATTCAGATCCTGAGCATAAAAGTGTTACAAGATACACATTTGTCAATACACTACTGTTCAAAAGATGTTTGATGTTTTCAAGGTCTGTTATGATCACTAAGGCTGCATTTATGTAAAAATAAAATTTAAAATAAAAAAGAAACAGTAATATTGTGAAATACTATTGCAATTTAAAATAACATTTAGGGCTGCACGATATATCGAAAGTATCGAAATATCGCACATGTAAATATCGCGATATCTGAATCATTTTAATAATAGGCTACTTAAATCAAAACGTTCCAAAAGGAGAGAATTGCTTGTTGTTAAAAAGAGTTAAGTGAAAAACAACTCTTTGCCGTCTCCTCTTGCTGTCTGACTCGCACCAAGCGCACAAGCCGCATCTCGCACAGCGTCTCTTCATTTCTGCCGCACACGTGCAAAGGCGCACACACACAGACGCGTTTCAGACAGCACGCAAACACCGAGTTGATTTGTCTTTCGCATCTCCTCCTTATGTTTGAACAGACACATACACACAGAATTATGTCAATAGTACCCGTCTCGACGATCATTCTCGTAAACGCAGTCAGTTATGTTTTAAATGAATGTAAACAGCTGAGAAAGAAATCAGATGGGTAGCTATCATTATATTGGATCCGTGCAGTCGGATTTAAAGGGACAGCAGCCCTTTATAAATACCTGCTGCTGAATATGTCACTAATGTTAATCAAACAACAAAACACAGCTTTAACAAAGATTAATCTAAATTTAATTCATACAGTGAACACAATGCAGTGTTATTTTACACTTAATTATTACATTTCTGTACCTGAATACTACTGTTTATTTTATCTATGCTTCTAAATTCTGTATTTGTTCTTTTTTTACTGACTGTTCTCTTGCCTTTAATCATGTTTGAACTTTCTCAGACTATAGTTTTTGCTGTGGTATATGAAGAAGTACTTAAAGTGTGTGGAAAGCGACGTTACAATGACATAAAATTAGTGTCATTAATTTTTTTGTTTGTATGTTCACTTTGATGTTAAAATTACATTTTCTGATTTGTGACATTAATTTTTATGTACTGCTAAAACACTGCTGGTCACTTTCAGAAGTTGTAGTGATTCTTTCTTTTCCAAGAAAGAATGTGAAACAAATTGGTTATATAATTTTCATTTTTAAATATTTTAAAATATAATTTAAATAGATTTTTCACACTTTAAGCAATATCGTATCGCATATCGAATATCGCATTTTTTAACAAGGTATTGCATATCGCATTTTTCTTCAATATCGCACAGCCCTAATAACGTTCTAACTTAATATAATTTTAAATTTATTTTTTAACCCTGTGATGGTAAAGCTGAATTTTCAGTAGCCAGTATCAGTCTTCAGAGTCACATGATCCTTCAAAAATCATTCTAATATGTTGATTTGGTGCTCAAGAAGCACTTATTATTATTATTATCAGTATTTAACACATCTACATGTTGTGCAATATTTGTGAGAAAACAGTGATAATAGAAAATTCAGAAGAACAGCATTTATTTGAAATAGAAATGTTTTGTGACATTATAAATTTCTTTAATGTTACTTTTGATCGGTTCAGTGCATTCTTAAAAGTATATATAGAGAGATAGATAGATAGATAGATAGATAGATAGATAGATAGATAGATTTATATTATACAAAGCCTTATTATGAAACAGCCTGGATTCCAATACATTGCCGTATCTTTAGGTTTTATTTTGGTTTTATTTTGAAGTATTAGAGGTAGTAATTAGGCCGTTTTTAGAGTTATATAACATTAAATATTTGTTGTCTAAAACTGTATTTTTATTATCATACTTTCTGTAAAGTCCACATGAATAGAACAGCTTTTGGTACTTCTAAGAACTTGTGCAGGGTAATACTGTTTGAGACAGAGTTTTGAGTTATGCAGCAAAGATGATTTCTATGTTAAAGCACATCCAGAGAATTGTTAGTTTCAAGAGGCGTGCATGGACCCGCAGAGACCTATAAAACCACGTGTCCAAATTCTTCCTCTGAGTAACAGTTACAACATGTATTTGAGCTGCTGAATGCATTCACAGATTCATATGCTGTTTCATGCCATGGACCATCTGTACCCTTGTCTTAAGATTTTATTGTTTAGTGGAACTTAATAACAATATCTCATTCTGCTGTTCTTTGCATGACACGAGTGTTTTACAGAAGATCAGTGTTTAAGCTTAACTGATAGACTTTATTATTTAAGGTTGTTACATCCCTGTTCAGTTTCATAGGTTCTTGAGAGTGTAATTATAATTTGACCACTTGGTGGCAATGTCCCCAAACTACTCAATGCCAAGTTACATGCATAATAGTCTTTATTGAGATTTATTTTAAATCAAATTTCTCCTTGCAAAGATGTTACCTCACTTCCAATGATTATGCATTTTTTCATAAGTGTTTATATAACTAATTGTTTAGGGGTGCCTGGGAATAATGTGCTCTGTTGCTAAATCCTAAGAACTAAACCATTGTGGCCACAAGAGGGCTATCTATGACCACTAAGTGGATGCAAAAGCAAACTATAGATGCCTTTTCAATGTATAAAATAATTATTTTACATCATGGGAAACCTATGAAATTCACTTCTCAATTCTCCAGTGGAAACATTTGTTTAACTTGGTCTGTTTTTGTCCGTCTGCATCACCCTCCATAGTCGGTGATGAAAGAACTTTTATAAAGAGAAAAAGAGACTGGCAGACTTGTTATGTGATTTGTTTAGTCTTCTGCCTTTTAAGTTTTATAGAGATTAAGTGACGGAGATCTCATCTCGCAGATGTCAGCTTTTGGATGATGTAATTGCTTTTAAACTTATTAATATGATGTCTGCGGCTTGTTTTATTCATAATGCAGTACAAATGTCTCATTCGCTGTTTATGTGAATATGTGGGGAAAGTGTTGTTATTGTTTGTTTAATCTGCGTAATATGATATGGCTGACTGTGTATTTCTCTTTTTGGAATGATGGTCATATTTTGATATAGAAATGCAGTCAGTGTTCTGTGTATTATTCTGTTCCTGTCTGTGATGAAAATGAGTT